GCCGCCAGGATTTATGTGCCTCCTCTACGGTTGATCGTCTCCCGTGGCTGTCACTAGATCGCCTGACGTCATTGGTTCCTCGCCTGCAGATCGCTAGCTTCTGACGGATGCACGGCTACTCCACCGTGATCTCGCTCAAGTTTTGACGTTTCTCAATGACAAGCCATTGTCCCACGTCGAGAGTAAGGGCTCCGTCGAATAATCTGTTTGGCATGAGAATGGAGTGAAAATAATGCCCTGCAACATGCTCCCTCTGTGCTCCCATCGTCTGTCTTCCAGCCCTCTGCACATCTGCTTTGTCGGTCTAGCGCTGTTGTGAGGCGAGGGGCGAGCAAGGGGACCTGAGGGACACGTTCCACTGGCGCATGGTGACCGATTTTCTCGGCGGGCTTCCTGCTGTCGACTACCGGCAAGCCAGAAATCAACGCCATGCCGTAACGCCCCAATCCTTGCGGAATGAAACGAACGAGGAGGAAGCATAGACTGATACCGTCAGCCCACATGACGATTGACTGATGTGCCCGAACAAAGCCTCTCTCTTGTCTTGGGTAGGCTCCCACCTGCCTACCTGTCCAGCATCCGGATGTACCTTACCCTCCCTTCGGAGGCATGCATGTTATGTCCAGACCGCTGCCGGCGTTCCTGACTGCCCGGGCAAGAGACGGTTTCTAGAGCGCCGTCCGTGTCGTTAGCGCCTCCGTAACGGCTGACAACCCGTTGACATATTACGGAACCCCGTGCTGAGGTACCAGTGTACCTAAGCGACCTGAGTGGCCCGTCACATCGACGCACTCGGCCTTCCCTGCTACGCTGCCTTCGCGTCTTCTCCGAGAACAGCACACGCCTCGAAGCACCCCACAAGTATGCGCCATCTACCAGACCGACGAGGGCGTCCTCAAAACCCGAGACGTAATTTGCAAAGGAGAAAAAAGCCTTTTTTCGGATGCAAAACCCACTCGGTGCCGATGGAGTCGGTAGTCTGGAACCTCGGGCTTCGTCCTCCCCCGAGTCACGACCCCGACTTGCCAAATGCGGCCCCGCAACTCGCATTTCGCACTGTTGGTTCCAACGCCAACTGCGACGTGCTAGGGTAGCTCGGCGAGAACCATCCCGTCCAAACTATCCGCATGAGAAATATCGGAAAAGAACTCGCAAGAGACGCGTACATGTATACCCATCATGTCCGTTCTCGCACATCGCGATCCTCCCCACCAAGCCTCTGAGAACAGGACGCAAGAAGAAGGAGACAGAAAGAAGAGGTCGGGGCTTGGTCTCCCCCTCCCTGCCCCAGCCGAACGGAAACTGACTCGCCAGCAGGGCCAACCCCAGGAACTGTCCTCGAAAGCCCTGCATGTTCACTTATATGTACTAGATTGCTTGATCGTGGCCCCTCCCCAGTCGCCTCACCATCATACCTATATTTGCCGTGCAGGGTTCCACGACTCGTGTGTCTCTCTTTCTGTCCGCTCCCCCCTCTCCATTTCCCCCCACTACCCGTCGGGAGAACCAGCCGAGAAGTGAACCGCCTCCCTGCCAAAAAGACGAGAAGCCCTTTCTGCCCAAGCTTGAGAACGCCGAGCGCAGACATCGGGACCTTTCTCACGAAACTGTCCGGGCATCTGCATCAGTTGCCAGGTAAACGAGGCAGACAGGCCTACTCATATTGCGAACCTTCGAGTGGTACAGTAGTAGCACTTGACGTATACCGGACAGGGAGCAAGGTGGCTGCAGTCGGCGTGGGCACTTACAACTGGGCCTGTCGTCTTCGGCTGGGTCTAATTAAAGTCTTATGCCTACGACTGTTTCCGTCACAAGCACGATCACCGACATGTGGGTCATTTCACGGTCGTCAGTGAAACGATCGTGTAGATATTTGCACTCTGTCCAAGCAAGGGTATACAACCCCCGAACCATACTGATACTTGGCCAGCATTGACTAATGAGACAAAGTTCTCATAATGCGTCTCCAATACCGGCCTCCATGTAATGTCAGCTTTCCGGCGGTGCTGTCCAGACCAAGCAAAAATACAACCTGATCTCACCGACAACCTAACAATATCTAACAGAGAATCCTAAACTGACAAGCTTATCAAAGACGAGGATGCCACGCAGCAATTTGTAATGGCTGGAATGCTAAGTTTCGGCAGTCCGGGTAGATCGAAGACTGCCGAGGTCACTCAGGTCTGTCTCCGGACCGTGGTGCTTATCATTTCTCTCCTTGGCTGCGGCCACAGCCTCGTGGATCGATATCGGATTCTTCTCGTACGTAAACAAAGAGACGACCAAGGTAGCTGCTGCGACGTACATCAACACCTTGAGTTCTTCGGAATACGCTGTGGCATAGACTTCACGGACGGCTCCGCGTGCTTCGTCTGGCCATTGAGTAGCAGAAGAAGGGGATCGGTGCAGATCGCTCATTTGTTGTGGTGTAAGCTGCTCGTGCAGTGCTGTGTTGAAGTGCGTGTTGAAAATGACAGTGGAAACAGCGATACCGATGCAGCCGCCGAGGACGCGGGCCTGCGCCATTGCGCCGTTGGCGACAGCAAGGTCATTGTGAGCCATGGTCTTGACAGCAGCTAGAATAGTCGCGGCGCTGAAAACAAGGCCAGTGCCGAGACCAAAGATGGTTTGGTAAACATAACTTTGACGGACGCTTTCATCAGGATCGTCAAGGGTCGACATGAGACCCAGGCCTATCAGTTGCAGTGACGCTGCTGCCATGAGTATCCAACACAAAAAGTTCCGTTTGCTGCAGATGGCACCTGATGCAAAAGATCCCAATGCGCATGCTCCCAACATGGGCAATAAGTGGACGCCCGCCTTCAGAGGTTTGTCGCCGTGAATGATTTGAAAGCGTTGGGGAATGTTGATAGTCAGAGGAACGAACGGGAAGCCGGTGAGAAGGGTGACTAGCAACCCAGTCATGTACACACGCTCGGTAGCAAGTCGGATTGGAAAGAGCGGCTGGATGTGGGGGAAGTGCTTCTTGGCCAGCAGGTACTGCCAGGTGATGAAGACGGCCCAGCATACACTGGCAATGGTGAGGGCCGCAACAATCTCTGGGTCATCCCACGCCGCCGCGTACGATCCGCCACGTAGAACACCGTAGGCCATAAACCCCGAGGCACTCAGCAAAGAGAGGCCGCCGACGAAGTCGATGCTGACAAACGCAGACCACGTCAAGATCTCGGCCATCTGAGGTTCCTGTGGCCAAAAGAAGCTGATGGCTCCGAGAGCGACGAGGCCGAAAGGAATGTTAATGTTGAATATCCAGCGCCAGGACGCACTCTGCGTAATGAGGCCACCGAAGAGAGGTCCACAGATGAAGGCGCACGCCAGGACACCTCCCATCAGGGCCCCAACCAGGCCGGGGCGATGGCCGGGGCCAATCTCGACAATGCTGATCTGCGCAATGCTGTACAGTCCAGAGCCTCCCAAACCTGAAAACCACGACAAATGATGAGCACCGCATGCTAGTTGCAGC